AAAAAAAAAAAAAATGCAAAAAAAAAATTCTTCTTCCTTCCACTTCTGTAGTTCCTCCGGGTCATCTCACTCTTGGGCTTGTTGAGGAGGCTCATTGTGGTGGCTGAGTTCTCCAGTCACTCCCTTTTCCGTGTTGCTATCTCTGAAGAAAGAGCTCTAAAAATATTTTAAAATAAACAAAAATATACAAGTGTCTCATACCACCCTAAGGAGAGGTTGTGTCTTCCTGAATCTTTCTGAATGCCCCACGGGCCAGGGCCATTTAAGTGCAGAAGCCTCTGACAACAGTACTACTGGAGATCCCGCCAGCGGGGGTGAGGCTGGTGCGGGTACTTTGTAGCTTGAAGGTGGCTGGAGAAATATTTCAGAGTCATTATCCTTCCAAGAAGTCAAGCTCTGGGCCCATTCTTTCATTCTGATCATTCAAGGCCTTATAGGCCAAGGTGAGTCTTTTGGATTTGAATTCAAAGGCCATATTGACCTCAGAGAGATTTTCCCTGGAAGAGAGAGGTGGCCTTCTTTGCACTGAGAGTCTTCTGGTTGCTTCAGGAATATGACCACCATATAAAACTGAATTTCAGATAAATAACAAATATTTTTGTTTCATTGTTTATTTTGATTCTTTCTTTCTTCCTTCCTTTATTGTTTTGAGACAGAGTCTCACTATGTTGCCCTTGGTAGAGTGCTGTGGCATCACAGCTCACAGCAACCTCCAACTCTTGGGCTTAAGCGATTCTCTTTCCTCAGCCTCCCAAGTAGCTGTGACTACAGATGCCTGCCACAACACCTGGCTGTTTTGGGGTTGCAGTTGTCATTGTTGTTTAGCAGGCCCAGGCTGGGATCAAACCCATCAGCCTTGGTGTATGTGGCTGGCACTCTACTCACTGAGCTATGGGCGTTGAGCCTTTTTTTTTTTTTTTTTTTTTGTAGAGACAGAGTCTCACTTTATGGCCCTCAGTAGAGTTCTGTGGCGTCATCACACAGCTCATAGCAACCTCCAACTCCCGGGCTTAGGCGATTCTCCTGCCTCAGCCTCCCGAGTAGCTGGGACCACAGGTGCTGGCTAGTTTTGTTGCAGTTTGGCCAGCGCCGGGTTTGAACCCGCTACTCTTGGTATATGGGGCTGGCGCTCTACCCACTGAACCACAGGGGCTGCTTTTTTTCTTTTCTTTTTTTTTTTTTTGAGACAGAGTCTCAACCTGTCACCCTGGGTAGAGTATCATGACGTCATAGCTTACAGCAACCTCAAACTCTTGGGCTTGACTGACTCTCTTGCCTCAGCCTCCCACGTAGCTGGGACTACAGGTGCCTGACACAATGCCTGGCTATTTTTTTGTTGCAGTTGTCATTGTTGTTTAGCAGGCCTGGGCCAGGTTCAAACCACCACCCTCAGTGCATGTGGCTGGCGCCATAACCACTGTGCTATGGGCACCGAGTCATCTTTTTTTAAAATTTTAAATAAAGACAGGGTCTCGGCTCGGCGCCTGTGGCTCAAGTGGCTAAGACGCCAGCCATATACACCTAAGGTGGCGAGTTTGAATCCAGCCCGGGCCCACCAAACAACAATGATGGCTGCAACCAAAAAATAGCCAGGTGTTGTGGCAGGCGCCTGTGGTCCCAGCTACTTCGGAGGCTGAGGCGTAGACTCAGGAGTTGGAGGTTGCTGTGAACTGTGATGCCATGGCACTCTACCCAGGCGGACAGCTTGAGGTTCTATCTCAAAAAAAAAAAAAAAAGACAGGGTCTCACTGTGTCTCCCAGGCTGGAGTACAGTGGTAAAATCATGACTCACTGCAGCCTTAAACTCCTGGGCTCAAGCAATCCTCCTGCCTCAGCTTCCCAAGTAGCCAGGACTAGAGCTGCCCACCACAATGCCCAGCTAATGTTTCTATTTTTGTAGAGTTGGGGTCTGGCTCTACTGCCATGGATGATTTTAAATTCCTGGTCTCAAGTGATCCTCCTGCCTTGGGCTCCCAAAGTGCTGAGATTACAGACTTCAGACACCAGTCCTGGCCAAAAAAGCAGTTTGGCATAGTATATCCCCAATATGGCAGGGGATATACTGCTACTAAAAAATTTTATTTTTTCCCTGAAATTCAGATTTAACTGGCATTTGCATTTTTTTTTTTTTTGAGAC